TCTGTGATCCCGGACTGCAGCTGTCTCGAATATCTCTCGCTCCACGTCGATGGGAAGCAGTCGGGACATGATGGTTCCGGGCAAGACGCTGGTGAAGGAGTCGGAAGGACTCGGAAGGTTTGCGGAAGGTGGTAGGAGAAGCAAAGGAGAACTTGAATACAAGTAGAAATGATGATCAATCACAGTGATATTCACACGCTGCAGGTTTTCACTTTCTCCCAACTTTCTCCTCCGGAGTCCCTGTGAAGCAAACGAAGATGCATCACTGCTTGAAGGTTTTGGAAATCGTTGATATCATATGCTCGCATCTCGACGGCGTATTCGGGTCACTCTGGGACGTTCAGCCCGCTACCCACAAGCGCGACCTTGCGGCGGTAGCGAGGACGTGCACAACCTTCAGGGATCTGGCTCTGGATCATTTATGGACGTCCACAACACTGCTAAGACTCCTTACTCGATGCATGCCCTCCGATTTGTGGGCTGTCGACACCGTTGAAGAGCAGTGGATGAGGAAGCACACGATGGTAAGCCCTAGTTGGTTGCACAGACGGTTGATCACCTTCCGACCCAAACTAGAGACACCTTCGCCCAATATACGCCTCAGACCGGGACAGACTCCGCTTGTACGCGCCTCGCGTCAAAAAGCTGGTCTCTGGTTGGGACGCTTGGTCCCTGCAAAAGGTTTTCCCAAGCCTGAGCCTGTCTTGGCCTGAAACCCTACTCCAGAATCTCCAGGCTCTGGATTGGAGAAACGATGAGGTCGACTTCCAATATATCCATCTTTTCCTCCGGCCCACGCTGACCAGGGTTCTCACTCGTCTACCGTCCAAATCCGCATATTCGTTACTGTCGACTCTAACCGAGAAATGTCCCAAACTCACCAACATTTCCCTCTGGGCGGACCGCTTCGCCTTGCGACCAGTGTCCCGCTTCATACTGGCGTTACAGCTCGTGGAAATACTATCCGTGCCGTGCTTGGAACAAGATGCCCTGGAGCATCTTGCTGAGCTACCGACGCTCAGGTCGCTTCACCTGCAGTCGCCTCCGGACATCACTGTATCGCGACGGGCCCGAACTCCAACCTTTCCTGCTCTTCACAAGTTGTCGATCAGCCGTTCCAGCGTCGGGTTCATCATCCAACTCCTCCGAATGTTCCAAAATGTTCCATTAGAAACATGCTACATCATTTTCCTCGACTTCCTCACGGCGCCCGAGATACGCAGCCTCCTCGATGCCCTTACCGCAAGCATTTCTCCTTCGACTCTTACCAATTTCACCGTGGAGTTCGAAAACGACCCTCTGGACGAAGTGAATCCCGCCGTTCATCTTGTTCTTCCGGACACTGTCCGGCTTCTCCTCTCCTTCGGCAATCTGACGCACTTATCATTGGCATCCACCCTTGCACTGTTCGATTTTGACGATGAGCTGGTCTCGCAGATGGCGCATGCGTGGCCGCGGATCGAGACTTTAGACTTGTCGGCATCATTCCCTGTCCATACTCCCCGCACAACGCCTGCGTGCCTGCTGAGCTTCGCTCGGCATTGCCCGCGTCTCTTCAGCCTCACAATGGCTTTCGATGGCACAGCCATTCCGATGACACATCCAGGGACTCATGCGCACCAGGAGCGTTTGCACCGCCTCACCGTCGAAAACTCGCCGATAACGAATGCTTTTGCCATGGCACAATTTATTTCTGGTGTGTTCCCGAACGTTGAATACGTCTGGACACATCGGGATATGTACCCCGAAAACGAAAAGATGAGATACCGGAGGATGAGGAGGCGATACAGCGTCATCGCTGTTGGCAGGAAGCGAAGAAGTTGTTGCCCCAGATTCTAGCGGTCCGCGAGGAGGAGAGGATGCTAGCGGAGGCGCGATTGAGCGCGTGACTCAGTGAGTTGCTTAGTGTGTCCGATGGAACACTACCACTACTCATAGTATGCATGCTGATGTGTTTGCTCGACAGCTCTGCGCTTGGTTTCTGTCCGTCTACCCCTCCCCCAATCATTTACAATGTAGATTTTGCAGCGAATTCTTTGCCGGTGGGCGTCCTCACCCCTCGCTCCCAATTTTGCGTCGGCGAAGTATTCTCCCAGTGTCCGAATGATTGCATGAATAACGGCGTGCGTCGCCACCTCTTCGCCTCTCTTTTCGTGTGGGGTCCCTGTCAGCGCTTGCGCCTTTCAGCCAGTCAATCACAGCAGTCGAATGGTGTGATTCGACCGTCAAGACCTTCTTCTGCATACATTTCTTCTGATCTCTCGGGGCGTTTCGGTTTGTCAAGTATGAGAACGAGGTTGAAATGCCCGAGTGAGTAAATTCAAACATGCCATGCGAGCTGGAAATGCGTCGGGTGGCTGCAAAGTGGCCCACATTTCCTTATTTGGTTTTATCCTTGCTCACCCCTTTCTAGTGGGCAAAGGGAAAGTGCCGCCCAGTGCGGCAGGGGCGGCAGTAGGGGCGGCACTCGGAGAATACTCTCTCTCCCTTTGGCTGTATGGATCTTTAGAACGTGGAAATGATTAGTTAGCCGTGTGAATATGATAATTAGCAAGTGTCTCATACCGCAAATGGTTCAAGATTATGAACTTCGACCTCAAAATTATGCTCCAAGGGTCGGCACACAGGTCGCTGAGGGCGGCAAGGGGGGCGGCAGTCGACCTTGAGGGGCGGCAGGGGGCGGCACTTTCACCGTGCCCCTTTCTAGTCCCGTCTAGTGGTTCAACAGTGACCAACTGTGCTACCATCACGTAGAAGTCATCTACCCATCACAGCACGTACCGTGAAGAGTGAATCGGATGTGGCGCCCGCTGTCTCCATTCGTTTGTCCGCTGATAGGATTAAACGGGGACATCGGGTTCAACTCCCGGCGTCTGACTTCAATCATTGCACTGGGGATTTTTTTCCTTCCCTTGCGATAGTCGACTGGAATTTACCCGCGGAGAATTCCTGCAATTCCTCGCGACTATATGGATTGGCACATTGGCTCAAGAGCGTCTGGCTGCGAGAGACTAGTGACAAGCTGCTAGCAGTCTCAAACCTCTCACGCCTCGTGGGATTAAACGAAATGGAATTGGACGCGGTACACGGCGCACACCTGGTCTCAGATCTTTCGCACTTCATCCGCTCAAAATGGATGAAATAAACTCGGACGTGGTGCGCGGTGTACGCGTGTTGCGAATCACTTGTGATCGATAGCGTATGCAGAAATCCTGGGTTCGACTCCCAGCGTCCCGAACTACTAGGGGTAGCGCTGTATTCTTTTCCTTCTCTTCCTGGCGCCTGTGGATTCCGCTAACTAATAATGAACGAGTCGGCAAGTGCTGCAAGAAATACTTATGTCCCTCCGGGAAAGGATTGGGACCGGATGTTCAGTTTCAACCTATCACTGTCTGATTGCTCGCCGTCCAACTTACCGAAATCTTAAGTACCCACATTGAAGAACGAATCGGATGTAGTGTACGGCGCACACTCGCTTGAGATGGGCGAGTCCTTGGAAATCACTTATGAGCGGGAAGCCTGGGTTCGACTCCCACCATCCGAATGCGTCGAGTGAAAGGCGCGTTTTCTGATTTCCTCCTCCCCTAGAGGCGCCAGTACGTATAATTGTACCTTGTCGGACGGCCTGGGTCGTCATATCGGTCACCGCAAAGGAGGACACGCACATGTACAAGCTTCGTTCAATTCCAAATAAAATTGAACCGCCTATATGGCACATATACTGTCCAGAAAATAAAATGGCACGCAACCTCGTCAATATGCCAAAAAGAAACTCAAGTTCAACCCAAGTTCCATGAATATACACAGCTCGAAACACTCCTCTGTGAAATATGCACAACCTCAACACAGTGCAAACTACACGCCACCATTGAAAAACGTGGCTGCAGACAGAGCAACGCACAACTCCTGCGAGAGACCCAAAAAATACGTAGCCTATGTTGTGTTCATAGAAAAACAATGCAACTTCCAAACTGCCTACATACTCCTGGGTCATGGTATGTTTTAGGCGTATTTGTGATGCCAACTGAAGTCGTGCGGTGTGCCGGGGTCCTGGCACTCCGTGAGACATACATGCTTAGGAGACATGACTAACAACACCATAAGTAGCCGGGTTGGCGACTCAGGTACATCTCGAGGAGGTGTTGTCTCTCAGACCAGAGCAAATACATCGATCATGAGTGCACGGTAGTATATGGACCAAATTGAGACCGAAGTCAAACCATGATCAAATTTACGGAACAACGTTGAACCTCTACGCGACGACCTGAGGCTCTGTCTTGATCAAGTTTGTGGTTTTGGATCCGCATCCTAACCTTTGAGTTGGCTCTTTTCTTTCCCATGCGGGCTGAGGCTGACGCAGGAATCCGCAAGGTTTCCGATTTGAGACTGAGCATCCATCGATATTTGATCGCATCATCACGTGCTTTGTCGCGTCAAATTTCCTGCTTGTTTGGTTGCAACACAAGTCGTGGACGTGCAATCAACGTTCAAAAGCGTGTCTCATGGTCTCAGGAAGCATATCTGGTACTCAAAAGGCGCTCAATTGTCAATCATATGCTCACCGGTGTATGTCGCATCGATTCAGGCAAGGAGACGACAAGTCACGAGCAAGAGGAAGATGGAGTAACGATGGTGCCATTTGATGATTTGAATTTAAAGTCCGACCATTTGAAACTTGACCCATCACTGAACCCAAGTCCAAATGGTGTCTTTTTTTCTGGGTTGTTTCAACGACGCGTCGCGCTGCCTTTCGGATGGTGGAAAGGAAGCGGTGACATTTTGTTGAAATCAACACGTCGTGCATCAAGTTGCAAACATAAGCAACTGGTGGTGCTTTTTCAGCGCATGATATGAGTTGCGTGTTTTCCAACAAGGTGGGCATTTTTTTCCGACCTGAAACTATGAATTATTGGACAGTATATGCCCCATACGCCTATTGCACGCTTGCAATCCGATCGAAATCTCACCCACCTATCTCAGTACCCACACTGAGAAAATAATCGGATGTGGTGTATGGCGCACACCCACTGCGAACAGCCATGAAGTGCGATTTCAACGGGGAAGCCTGGGTTCGACTCCCAGCATCCGAATGCGGCGGGTGACCCGGGTCGTCATTTTTTTGGTGTTTATTCTTGCCTGTCGAGTTTCCAGTGAGAATCATTTCAGGGTCGGACTGCTCGCATCGGTCGCCGGCGGGACGATGATAATTCCAACTACGAAACGTTGAATCCTATCGTGTTCCAAACATTGCATAATTCGAAACGCAAAATAAAACTTTCAGGTCCAGAAACTTTTTTTCTCAGTTCTTAGGTTCCTTCTGTACTGCATTTCTGCACATTATATGACCCCTGTATACTTGTCCCTGAGGCCAGAGGCATCTGGATGATGGTCTTCTCCTTCAGCCGCTGCATCAGCTTCGGTTATTTACTCTTCTTCCCTTTCTTCTCCCCGTCCTTCTCCTTCTCCCCATTACCCTGCTCGTCTTCTCCATCTGCATCGCCCTCGTCTGCAGCATCGCCCGACGCACCCCCACCCTCGTCGTCCCCATCGGCACTCGAGCTCTGCGTCTCGATAATCGGCGCAGGGACGGGCGCGGACGCGGACGCGGGCGCGAGTGCCGCATCAACGGGGTGCGCAGCGGGCTGGGGGTCAAGTCCTTGCGTATTCATTCCCGCCCCCCACCAGCCACACCCTTGCCTGCGCCTGCACCGGGGGCACCCCATAAACAGGCACCTGCGCCCCCGCAGGCACCACCGGCGTCACTACCGGCGTCTCCGGCTCCGCGATACCGCCGTAGGGGTTAACAGCATTGAGAGAAGAGGGAGTAGGGGTGGGGACGCTCTCGCTCTCCGTCGTCGCGGCGTACCCGCTGTCGAGGGAGGGGGTGGAGCCAGGGGGTGTCGATATCAGATGTGCCACGTTCGGGACGGGGTGCGTCGATAACTCCGCTCCTGCACCTGCACCTGCACCTGCACCTGCACCTGCACCAGCACCTACACCAGCACCTGCACGGGGCACGACGTGCGGACGCGAGCGCGCCGACGAGCGAGGACGTGGGGACGGTACGTTCTCGTTCGACCCTTGCGCCGCCTGTACAACACCGCGGCGTCGCGCTCTTTTGAGTGAGGGATGAGGAGGAGATTGAGAAGGAGGGCGGCGGGGATGACTGAGACGATAGAGTCGACGGTGGTGGGGAGCGTCGACGGAGGATACAGACGCGGACACGGAGGACGCGGTGAGGATGGAGTTGGAGTTGGAGGGCGGGAGCGGGGGCGGAGACGCTTCGGAGGTTAGCGGTTCTGGTGATGCCACGGAAAACTTAGTCTCATTCGAGATAGGTGGAGAGAAAGACACGCACGCAGGTACGCCTTGGCGGTCGCAAGGGTCGGTAGATACGCCTGTGCGCTTTCAAGCAAGGATTCGTCTCCCCCTTCCCCCTTCACCGGTGTCGTCGACAAATCCAGCTGCGGGTCAGGCTCGAGGTGCGCTCAAAAGCCGCCAGGGACGGCAGGCCCACGCGTACTATCACTGGCGTGCGCGTAACGTGCGAGCCGAGGATACCGTTCATGCCTCAGCCCATTCGCTCTCTGGCGTAGAAGGGAGCGCGGTGGAGGCGATTGCGGGCACCAGGTTCGGTGCGGCGGACGTGGCGGTCATCCTTCGCTAGTCGTAGCATTCGTGGGTGTTTTTGAGGGGTAAAACGACGAGATTTGGCGAGTTAGAGGTGTTAAGATCCCAGCAGACTTTGGCGGTTAATTAGGGGGATTTTCTCAGGGCAGAGCAGGGTGGGGTGTTGAGCAGCATCTGGCCAGAGGATCGATGGCTTTTCTACGGGCGCGGCCACTGGGACACGGGGAGAGCTCGACGAGCGCAGACATGACGAGGTGGGGAGAAGGCTCGGGAGGCTGTAAGTAAATAGAGGCAATCATCGGCAACCTCCGGGCCGTCTCTTACTCTCAACTTCCATGGTCAATCCATGGTGTAGCTTTTGTGCACTGCTCTCTGGCTCTCTACCTCTTGCATGCATTTTTCCTGCTGAATGCACTCTTCTTGTCAAAGTCGGGCGTCCACTCACCCTTTCGCTGTTTTACCGATTTCCATTTCGTGACAATTGGGACAACTTTCAGCGCCCTGAACCAAGTTAACTCGCCGAGGATGTCCCTTTTCAACACGGCGCCAGCATTACGGAGAATCCTCGGACGTGGTGCGCGGCGCACACTCGCAAAAATAAAATAAACTAAACAAATTCTGCGCGGGAAACGAGGTTCGATTCCCGACGCTCGAATAAACCTTAGCCCAAACCCAACGGCATTCCCTTTTTCTTTCTTCTTGTGCACAGCCAAATCCTGCGAGGTCTTTTTGGAAACCATGCATGCTTCAACATCCACGCGGTGCAGGTATGTGCAGGCTATCTCTAGAGTCTAAATCCCCTCCTAGCCCGCTGTTCGTACCAGACAAGAACTCGGACGTCGTGCACGGCGCACACCAGCTTCATTTGAAGGCGGGCAAAAAATCACTGTGATGCTGGAGGACTGGGTTCGACTCCCAGCGTCTGAATAGCAAATTTCGGACGCTTCTTTTTGGTTCAGTCTTCAAACGAAGGACATGGCGACTGTGCTCAAGCTTTGAGGTAAACGCCCACTTTCACATACCAAATTCCGGGGAGACTGTGGGCTCAGCACAAAAAGCAAAGCAGCCCGGTCAAACTAGAGCCCGCCTTGAATGTAGGCGAAAAACTCGGACGTGGTGCGTGGTGCACACCCGCGGCGACTAGAAAGGCTCGGGCTATGGTTTACTGCGAGAGATCCGGGTTCAATTCCCGGCGTCCGAATCTTTTTCTTTTTCTTTTTCTTTTCATTAGGGTCGTTCACGGTTCCCTTTTTCCTCCCCCTTTTGTTTCCCTTTTCCACTCTCTTTTTGCTGTTTCCAACGGACTGGGCAAATATCGGTCATTAGGGTTATTCACGGTTCCCTTTTTCGAGCCCTTTTTGCGTCCCTTTTTCGGGCCCTTTTTCAGCTTTAGTCAAGATGCAATTGTGCCACGGTTTCCCGAAGTGACCTAGTGTAGTCAGAGACCTTCAAGTGACTGTATGAGTACACAATTCATCAAACGCGGTCAAAAGAGAGGCAAAAAGGGAGCAAAAAAGGGACGGAAAAAGGAACGCAAAGCTAGGGCGTTCACAGTAGAACTTTTTCGGCCCTTTTTCTTTCTGGATTTTGCTCAGTTCTGTATGCAGGGACTTAGTTCTTTCGCTTGTTTACCCTTTTTACATCTCTAAGTTGAAAAGGGAAAAAAAACTGGGAGAAAACCCGAAGGAATGCAAAAAAGGGAGAAAAAAGGGAGCGAAAAAGGGAGGAAAAAAGTCTACTGTGAACAACCCTATTTGATTCACCCACTAGCGCTTCACAGAGAAGAAAACTATTCATTGACACACTCAATAGCTTAAGTAAGTACCTTAGAATCTTAGACTCTACCCCAGGCTCTACCCTCAGGCGGCCTACTCACTCGATTCCGTCTGGGTCACGCTCCAACACCAACACTCTCCCTGCCAGCCCGGCTCCCATGTATGCAAAGAACTCGGATGTGGTGCATGGTGCATCCCTGCGGAGACTCACAAGATTCCGACGAACTCGTCTACTGCAAGAGATCCGGGTTCGATTCCCGGCGTCCGATTACGATCTCATATTGTGCGGTTCTTTTTGAACTAGAAAGCTCTCGGCACAGTATGTATCCATAATTCATCCTCCGTCTTTCCCATAAAACTATAATTATTTACTGTCAGTTGTTCAGGTAAGCAAGCATCATTCACCCTCAGGCAGCCTGCCTACTACATTACTCTGACGTCCGAAATTTCGTCCTGTTTACTCATCATCAAGCGCTCTCATACCCCGGCTCCAATGTAGAACAAATGTCTCGGGTAGTGGGTGGAGCACGCCCGCCTGGAATTTCCACGCCCTAAGCTCCATGTGCGCGGGAAAATGGTTTCGATTCCCGGTGTCCGAATGGAAGGATGATGTATGCATTTTTGAACCAGAAGGGATGCAGCTCCAGAGGTCAACCTCCCGTTTTCCTTTTGCTTCCCCTACAGAATTATGATTCAACCCACGCGCAGTCTCGCCCAGGAAGGTGAGAGTACCTGCACCCTCAGGCGGCCTCTGTAGTCTGACATTCGAAATTCCGTCCAGTTTACTCAGCACCCAGCCCTCTCATATGGGCCCGGCTCCAATGTAGGAGAAATGTCTCGGACATAGTGTGTGGAGCACGCCCGCTTGGAATTTCCACGCCCAAAGCTCCATGTGCGTGGGAAACCGGGTTTGATTCCCGGCGTCCGAATGTTAGAATAATGCACGCGTTTTTGAACCAGACGGCATGCAGATCCAGAGCTCAACCGCCCGAATTCCTTTTGCTTCCCCTACAGAATCATGATTCAACCTGCGCGCAGTAGGGGTGCTTACTCACAACATACGAACCTCGTCCCGTTTACTCAGTACCAAACACTCCCGTAGCCCGCCGGCCATATAGGAGAATAATTCGGACGTGGTGCGTGGCGCACACCCCCTACTAATAGGTCTCTCCTGTCCCATAATATATACATGCGGAAGACCGGGTTCGATTCCCGACGTCCGAATCCTTGGGTTATATATTCATTTTTTAACCAGAAGGGATGCAGCTGCGCAAGGCCGACGATCCTTGTTTTTTATTGTTTACACAGAAACAAGTTACAGTCAGTTGCCCTCAACCTCAGCGAGGCTCTTTCTCTGACATTCAGATCTACACTCCAACACTCTCCCTCATAACTTTCCTCTCATGTAAACGAAAGACTCGGACATATTTCGTGGTGCATATCTGCGGCGACTATGAAGGCTCGGGCTGTCGTCTGCCGCGGAGATCCGGGTTCGATTCCTGGCGTCCGAATGGAGAATCTGTGATTTTTTTTTTTTTTTTTTTGCTTCCCTGCTACAACAATATTTATCGAAGCAAAAACTCTCCGACTGACTAACCTGTGGAGGAATACCCTGAAGGTCCGTCAGATGAATCATTATGCACCGTCTGTCTACCGTCTTCCTTTCTTGAAGAAAAGCCATCGGAGTTTAGAGGAATTGATCGATAACTCCCACGGTTGAACTTCAACCAAAAGAAATGATACGTTGATGGGCATGGCGGAACCAGGGAAGCCTTCCAAATGCTATAATTGGGCTCGAGGGCGGATCCAGTGTGCATGTGACGAGGGATATACTTATGTAGTGCGGAAGAAAATGTGGAATCCAACCGCGAATGCATCTTAAAATGTGGCCGGAATGATCAGTTTTGGCCACGATAGTCTCGGTGTGTTGTTGGCCGGCCCAAAACTTATTGGCTTGATTCGGGGCTGAAACTTGCATATTCAGCGGGGTGTTCCGTGAAATTTCCCTTGTTTCGGTGTGACTGCTTATCTCCTGGTGAGTGCACAGTCTTCGCCTGTATGTAAGAAAAATCCGATATAACGCGAGTTCATATGGATTGATAAATTATACGAGAACATAAATAGTACTTTGAATACACCTGCTAGAACGTGGGCTATACTGCCACAGTAGTGAGCTTCCTGTCAGTCTCCATATCCTTGATGCCAACGGAATCATCATCTCCCTCCTCCATGGCATCGGACCGCACACTAAGCTCTGCCAGGCGGCCCAAGTTCTCCGCATGTTTGTCCATCACATCATGAGTGACACCTGCAAGTCTCTCATTAATCTTCTCAACCTGTCCCACTTGTGATGATATCTCAAACAATGGTTTGGCCGCCTCCCAGAGCTCCAGTGCTTTCAAAATATTCCCATGCTGCTTAGAAATGTCTCCAAGCCGAAGCATGCATTCAGCCCGGCTGCGATGAACATCCATGTATGTGAATCCATCCAGAGCAACAGTGAACAAGGTGATGGCGGTCACTTCATCGCGCTGACCGAGAAAGATATCTCCAAGGAATTGCAGCGCCTTATGGACCCTTAGCTTCTGTTTTGTTTGAACAGAATGTGCAAGGAAGATTGTTGTCCAGATCGGGTTGAAATCCGATGGTCCCCAGTAACTGGCATCACCAAGTTTCTCCAGGCAATTTGAAGCAATTTCAGCCTGTTTGCCCCAGGAGATTTTGAGACTATTCTGGAGCAGTGTTGAGGCTGCCAGCATGTTTCCTTCTTTGAGTGTGATATATGCTTGCATAGCATCACAACTTTCAATCAGCCTCGTATCTCCGAGAGTGCAACATATTGCTTTTGCTTTTGCTAGAGCACTCTTGTTTTCTATTTCATGTTGCAGTGGTACTTCACTCCCGCATAAATTGACCAAAGCAGCGGCATGATGAATGGGATCCTTTTCAGCTGATGTTCCTTGCAGAATCTGCCTGAAGATGGTAGCTGCCTTGGTATACTCTGATTTCATGGAATGTGCTGCTGCCTGGACCATCATCACTTCATGGTCCAAGTTAGCGCCGGATGTGCCACACAGAGCAATCAGATGTCTGGCTCTGTTGCACACAGCAATAGTTTGCTTGTAGTTGCCTTGCATGAGCAGACATGCAGCCTCTATTGCAAGTGCCTGCGCCTCCAGATATGAAGCACCGGATATCCGAGCACATCTCTGGGACTCATATGCATCTGTCTGAGCTGCAGAGTAATCACCAACATGCCACTTGATCCATGCCAGATAGCGCAATGCATCGGACTTTTTCCCAGTATTTCCAGCAGAAATTGCCAAGGAGAGACTGTTTTGGCAACAAATAATGGCTTTAGATATGGCTTGACTGCGCATGTGATGTATGGCTTGGCTTATGTAGAATCTACCTAGAGCATTCATGAACATCAAGACACTGCATGTCATCATTGCACTCACATTGAAGGTCTGGATCGCTGAAGTGGCCAAAGTGTTCCAGGGCTTCAGCTGTTAGTATTTCTGCATTTGGGATTGCACGGTAGGCTGAGGAATTGAATAGCTCAGTGATATAGTAAACCACGGGCTGCGGGCCACAGGAATGTGGAGAGCTGTCGTGAACCTGGTCCATGAGAGAGATTGCACCATGTCCAATATCTCGACTGAAGGAGTTCAAATGACATGTGCCATATATGCAACTTTTTAGGTCAGGATGACCTGGCTGAAGCCCATTGCGGAGGATATTCTGAATGTTTGAATAGTTTGAGGATATGCGGGCGATGACCTGCGGCGATTTATTTACCATATATGAGTCTAGCAGGTCATGGAAGTAGTTGAGAAGAGAGTGAACCATGTGTGGTGCGGAGGGTTGGGACTTCTGCATGTGCTCCCTGATGGGAACCAAGACCTTGAGTCTTTTGTGTCCATCAATGTAAGCTAGGCTGGCACGAAGCAGAGTTATCCTGCACCGTGAGATGTCCTTGATTAGGAAGCGGCTTTGTGTGAGCTCCACCTCAGAGAGTCCGTCAGGAAGAATTGATAGGAGACCCAGAAGTAGTAGGGATTCTGGCTCAGAAGTGATTCTGGGACTTGACAGTGATATTGAGATCGATAGATCCAAGTTGGATCTTCTATCATAACCAACAGAGATCAT